CCCAGGTTACGAAACTGGAACTGGGGTGATCATCTGCATTACAAAAGGCTTTTTCATTTAACCCAAAGGATTCACCTTGGAAGAAATCTTAGCTTTCCTTTAAAGACAGACCTCTGGAGCATTTCCATTTGGATTATTAAGGTTTTGCATAGCTCCATCTTATCACCCTACCCAAGGAATGAACTTTTGTGAGCACACACTGTGCCATATTCTCCTTCAGTCCCCTCCATGTGGACCTCATCACCAGGAGACACTTCAAGATTGGTGAGGAATACACACTTTTCGGGGACACACTGATTGTATGAAGCGGGGTACAGCCATAAGCGAGATCAACACACTGCATTTTCAGATTGCCCCAGCTGAATAAATACACAAACCATCCTCGGCCTTTTTCTCCCTGCAGTTCCAAGCAGTAGGTGGTACTAATAAAAATACCACCTGGGGTTTGTATAGCACTTTACAGTTTCGCAGCCACTCTCTTAACCCAGCGTCGCTTTCTGCTCCCACGCTCGTCCCATTTCCACCCACACCCCTGCTTTTCCTGCCGGCCAGCCCCGTGCCAGCTCCACCAGGGCCAGGCTGCGTGCTTTCCCGGGGAGTCCATGTGTTGTGTGGAGAGTTTCCTCGTAAAGAGTCAGCCGGCCAGAAATGTGGGCAGAGAGCAAAGGGCAGCTTGTTCAGCTTCTGTTTATTATGTTCTCACAGCCTTGTTTATAGTAAAGGTGAATGACATTATTCCACTTTACACGGCAATGAAACAACTCAATGAGGACTCCATCAGCCAAGCGGTGTATATGGCGGATGAGCTGCTACAAATCCGTCGTGCTCGCCACGTGACTCAGCGAATGCTACCGTGGTTGGAGCACACACCGAGCCTGGCCACCTTTTCCACACCTGGCAGAGGGAAGGGAGCAGGAGGGGCAAAAGGGAGTAAGAATCAAGAAAAGAACAGTTTATTGAGAGGACCAGACCTCAACCTAGAAAGGCCCATGGCCCATCCCGGAGTCTCCCATCTCGGTCCGCAGCATCTTGTAGAGTCCTAAGAGGCCACTGGGATGGGAAGACATCTCTGCTCTTGGCTTCTTCCTCCACAATCTTATGCCAAGTGGCACGGTGGCACAGGCTCTCAGTGCCAGGAGCAGCCTTGTTACCTCTGGTGTTTCTAACCTGGAGGGATGCAGATTGAAGGGGGGCTGGCACGTGGCAGATTGAAGGATGGCTGAGGGTGGGAAACTGTAATTCCTCTGCCTTGCTTGGAAGTGGGCACAGACAGGGTCAGGAGGACTCCAGGCACTCTTGCTGAGGGGAGACCTCCTGCCTCTGTGTGGGCCACTCCTCCCCTTCCCCTCTGGGCCTTGGAGAAGCAGATACCACCTTAGCAGCTGGTCTCTCCTGCCCATTCCTTCCTCTCCAGTCCTTCCCCTTCCCAACCTCCCCCAGCTCTCAGCATAACAGGTTCACACCTTCCCTCAGGCAGAGCCAGCTTCTCCACCTGCACTGGCAGACAGGCCGCCCTGCCGAGAAGTGCCCAGGGCCTGCACCCGGAGACTGGGCCTGCAGCCTTCACAGAACACCTTTCACAGCTTTGGTTTGTTCAGAGCAGCGAGTTCTGGGGAGAGCACCGGAGAGAAAAATCAACTAGGAACATCCCAGCAGCCCACCCAGCCTGGGACCAAAGAGGGAATGGCAAGGGCTTGGAGCGGGGGACAAAACCCCACTGTGGCCTTGGAAAGACCACACAGATTTTGATATTCCCAGCATGTGACACCCTCCACTGAGAAATTTGGAAGTTGTTGTGACTACTATTATCGCTACCACGACATTCTTCACTCACGATCTGAGTTCCAACTACCTTGTTGCATGGCCTTGGGTACAGAGGCGCACACAGCCTAACACAAATGGCCAGACACAAGAGCGCATGAAAACAAATAGGGAACAGTCTGAGAGGCAAGCTGGGAGCAAGCAAGACTCAGAAAGCATGGCAAAACGTCTCTTGATCGAGGGCCCCTTCAACTCCTACCTTTGGATACCTGCTGCCAAACAATGCATATAGCTCGGGCCAAAGCACTTGTCTTGCAAAGGACCAATTCAGACCGAGGGTGCAGAGGCAGCGTCCTGAGGCCCGACTCCAGGGCTGTGGGTGCCTGGGTATTGTGCTTGTTTGCCACGGACGTGCTCTAGCCCCCTTGGCCCTCACAGCCGTGTTCTGCCCGCGGCCATGTCCCTCCCCACTCCTTAGGCTTGCGCTTCCTAAGCTCCTCTGCACATTGGAATCACCTGTGGAGCCTTAAAAACTACTGACACCCGGTGCCTACCAAAGAGCTTCTGATGTAGCTGTTTGGGGTAAGACCTGGACATTTGGGTTTTTAAAACTCCCCAGGAGGCTCTAATGAGCAGTCAAGGTTGAGAGCCACCATCTTAGACCATCTCTTTTCAGAGACCACAGGCCACTGCCCACCTAGGAGCTTACGCAAAATGCAGATTTCTGGTCCCCGTCCCAGGCCTATCAGATGAACATCTCTGGGTGTGGAACCTGGGAATCAGCACTTATAACAGATTCTCCGGGTCATTCCTGCGCATGCTCAAGTTTAATAAGAAATGCTGCCTCCGAGGGTCCTTCCTCTCCCCAGAGGTGCCCGAGATTGTGGATGGTGGATATTGACCATGTTCTATTTTGTTCGCCAAGGGCAACAACGAATCTCTCATCAGCCCAAACAGGTTAGCAGTCCAATGGGGCCAAAGGCCACTCGGGGACGGAGAGCAATTCTATGTCACAGCTCTTCCCGACCTACTGCCCTGGCTCTCCGTGAGCCCGCACAGGCCCCAGGACCAGAGTGAGTCACAAGAGCACAAGGCAGGCAGTCAACAGCACGAGCCCGGCACGAGGTGCGAAGGAAGACAGTGGATGGAGGTGGCACATATGGCTGCCAGCCTAGTGAGGTGGAGGACGGCTTGTGGAAGAGGCGACGGGAGATGGGGCAGGACCAGGAGACGTGGAAGGTCGGGGATGAGGTATACTTGGATATTGCTCTAGATGTTGTAAACATTTCTCTTTGTTTTATCACAGACCAAAATCTGGGTTGGCGTGACCAAAGTGCCTAAAAGTTGGCGTTGGAGCAAAGAGCTCTGTGCCTCTCGTGGGAAGCGGGGTGTAAGGGGTGTGGGGAAAGCGCCACCCCACAGGAAGATCACGTCTGTGGTGCACCGGTCTAACGCTCACAACTGTCACACACGCACGAACACACATAGACGCTCCACGGGAGTACCATAAATTTAGCTGTCACTTTCGTCTACGCACGGACACACGCCCACGCATACTTGCTGAGCTGCAAGATTCAGGATGCCCAAGCTTGGTCCTTCACACCTCCCCACCGTGGGAGGAAGTCGCCAGAGCGTTGCGTCGCCACCATCTGCAGCCTTTGTTTCACCAGTAGTTGGCCAGAACTCTGGGCCCCAAAGGAGACCACCACATGACATGCTTGTTCGGACTTTTCTCCTCGGGAGAGTGGAAGTGGTGAAAAGGCCCTTCTTAGGATGTCGCACGTTTCCATGACTCTGTGCAGTCCCAATTTATACACACCTCACATTTGACGGTAGAGTTGGCAGCAGATGCACATTTCGTGTATGTAAACAATGTTTAAAATACCCTGTTAGAGAATTTAATCATTAAATTAATTCTGGCAGCTTTAGCTAAAAATGGTCTGTTGTTTTTTTTTTTACCAGGGTGGGAGGAAGACTACCTGCTCTAACTATGAACACCCATTGGAGGCTTCAGAGTTTTTGAGTGAAATTCCACAGGTCCCTTCAGCGTGAGAGTAGGAGGCATGTGTTCTTCTCTCTCGTTGAGGTTCACACAGTCACGCCGAGCCTCACTCCCAGGTAACACGCGCTGTGGCAGGGCAGTGGGCCCTAACACTGGTGGGGCTCACGAGCCTTCTTGGCCTTTTCTAGCTGTAGCCAAGGAAGAAAGAGATTCTTACAGTTACTGGACAGGAATGCAAGCACTGGAAGACCAGCATAATCTTGAAAGGTTCATCGCCCTACAAAAGGAGGGTGCTTCAGCCCAGTTCTCAATCACCTGTACTCCAAAGCTCATGCCTAATCATGTGCTGTTTCAAATATTCAAGCAGAAATTTTTGTAGATCTGCCATGAATCCAAATCCATTGGTCATGAACTATCGCAGTAGTACCTCCACCACATTCTCTGTGATTCAGTCCACCTGGAGACCAGCCTCTTCCAGGCCCCTCTTCCACTTTCTGGTCTCTCTTTTGAGGATTCGTCTCCTTGGCATTGCTCTTGTGCAAAAATCAGCTTTTTCCTGGGTAGATAGAGTAGGTTCCAGGCAGCTCAATCATCCTCCAAGGAAGAGTGGCCTGATACATTTCCAAGAGCAGCTCCAGGGTACCATGAAAGCATTTTAGGAAGGTTCTCCACAGCCACACGTTCACAGTGACCTTCTTAGCCACACTTCCTATTTCATGCTCAATCCCAAAAGGTTGACGATCAAGAATGAAGCTGCTTTGTGATAGCCAAGAGAGGGACCTTTCTAAGAAAGCATATTCCCAGGAAGCAAGCTGGAAAGAGAGTTTCAGCCCAAGTTCCCATTCTCCCCCATCATAATAACATGACCTGCATGGAAGGGGGGAGGTGGAAAGACAGGGAAAGTGTTAGGCACTGTGACAGCTGTCCATGCTATAGGGACTCACCTCCCTTTACCAAGCCGTCTGACATCCTAAGAGATCAGTGATGTATGACGCCACAGGGAGGCGAGGGCAGAGAAGACGTTGAGCAACAGACAGGTTATACGAGGCCCCATTGCACAAAAGTCTACTGGCGCTACATTCCCTGGTCATTTGACTTCTGGAAAAGTTCTGGGTAGAATTGAGGAAGATTTGCAAGCTGTATCTTTCTTAATGGCAGCTCCACTTCAGAAGTCATGAAGGACATCTCCCAAGACCCTTTCCAGAAATGTAAGGGTAGGGGAGTCTTGTGAATTTCCTAGGCCAAGATGGGCAACGATCACAGCTTTTCACACTGGTCCAATGGAAATGGGAGAAACAGCCAACTCCACGGAGTTCACCCCCTCTCCCAGAGGTCACCTGTCAATGACAGTGCTAGAAACCTGGGATTCTACAGGGACCTCTCTCCTAAGCCGTGAGGTGCCAGCACATGTGAATGGCCATTATATTGTGACAGTAAATCACAAATGTGAGCTAGTCTTCCAACTGTTCCTCCCAGGCATATAGAACAAGTGGGGAGTTAGGAACCCTAACTGAGGAGGGTGTGGAGGGTGTGCAAATGGCATTTGCATTATTTACAGGATAGCCTAGCACAGCAGATCTGCCTTCTCAGTGGAGATGGCCCAAGGCATTATGAAGGGCAAGTTGCTGACCCAGGGAAGGGTAACAGCAGCAAGGTGCTACCACTAACCAACACACAGACATGGGTACATGGAAGAGTCCGAGCTCCAGCAGGTGGGTCATACTTTGGCATGGCCCTTCCTTTTCTCCTCACCCCCAGCCTCCCACCCCAAACGCCACCGCTTTTGAACACCTACAACATTTCACATTAGAGTATGGTCTTGGCAGCAAGGGGAGGGGAAAGCCAGTGATTTCCAAGAGTCTCCATCTGAGGTCTAACTGAGCCTCCTCTGGCTTTGGGACAGCAAATCTAAGTACATTTTGGACCTCAGGAACCTGGGGTAAGAGTCTTTCTCCATGAGGCTGTGTACTTTTCCCTGGGCTTGGTCAAAGCAAGTCAGGGATGGCTCCTGCATGTTCTTCCTCGTGGCTTCTCGGGTCTGAAAGTCGATGTTTACCTGGAGACACAAACAGAGAGCAAGGTCACAGGCCCTCGAGGGCCAAGGCACCTGGCAGCAGACCCTAGCTATGTAATAAATCATAATGACACCATCTTATATCTTTAAGATGATTTATGCTGTTCAAACAGCTTTCATGGAGATCATCTGTTTTCATCACAGCAAGAATCCTGTGGGATCTCAAGACCAGATATTCTCAGTCCCAACTTATAGATAAGAACACTGGAAAAAAGAGAGACTAAGAAGCTTATCGAAAGTGTATGGGACGTTAGTAAGAGAGCCAAGGCAAAATCCCAAATTACTTGAATCTTAATCCAGGGACCTTCACAATGTCAGGCAAAGGGTTAGGCTCAAGCCAAGTGTTAACGTAGATTTCCTAAAGTAAGCTTTCCCCCTCTGTTCTTTCTTAACTGCCTAGAAAACAAATGCCCTGTGGAGAGAACCCCTGGTTAGAATGTGTGTCTCTGTTCCAACCAGCATTATAAGAGGTCTATAGCATTGTAGTCAACTGGTAAATACCTCATGCATCCAAGTCAAAGCAATTGAAGAGCTCTAGGAATGCAATGCACCTAAACCTGTAGACAGCTGATATTTTTCTTCAATCAACCCCTCCCAAGTAAAATTCTGTGTTATAACTCAGAAGAGCAATACAATACAAATTCATCCTATTATAAACAATTATAATAAAATAATACCAATAACTGTAATTACTCATTAATGAGCAGTGGCATTTATTGAATGGGTGCTTTATCCCTAATACTCTGAAAGGTAAGTGATATTATACTCTTTTACATTGAGGAAAATGAGACTCAGAGAAGTTAAGTAACTTGACCAAGATCACACAGCTAGTAAGTGGTAGTGCTGAAATTGGAACAAGATTCCAAAGAAGATCTGCATTCCATTAAGCTATGCTGTCTTCTACCAGAAAAAAGTACATGGATTCAGTGGCATTTGTTCTTGCAAAACCCCTGTAGCAACATAGTTCCTGCTAGCACATGTTCAACTGAAAGCTAAAACACTCCTCATAGAGCTCATTAGATAGAAGCTTTGGCTTCTTCTCCTTAAAAATGATCCTTTTCATCAGAAGCCACTGGAGCAGTGAGACTCAGTTCAGTATAAGAAGGTGCTCATATAAGCCTGCCTCAAACCCCCTTTGAGGAGAGAAATGTGAGCCCGCAGCATGGATAGAAGTCTGACAGCGTGGTTGCCACTGCAAACACACCTCCCGCGGAGCCTGCACGTCCACAAACTCCTCGAAGATCCTATGGGCCTTGGAGACCAGTTTTGCAGTCGACCTGGTCTTCTTGAACTCCTCACAGGCCAGCCAGAACTCCAGGTTCTCCTCGCTGAACTCTGTCTTCAGGAAGGCGCGGAAGGCAGCCACCCCATCTATGCACGTGGAAGGAGGCGGGAAAGGAGAGAGACAGGAAGTAGCTTAAGTTCAAGAACAGTAGAAGAAAGAAAGAAAAGTCGTAACAATGCGAGGGGTCTCTACTTGTCCAAGCCCACTGTTCCTCCTCACCCTTTTGAAGACTCTGTTCTCTTAGACACACAGGTACCCTCAGAGGAAACCATGTCAAGGATTACAGTGATATTAGAAAGCAATGTTTAAGAAGCCATAGTATTAACGTTTAGGGCAGAGTTGGCTGTCCCCTGGGTCTACTGGTGAATCTGTGTTGCTAATTAGGCCAAGATAATGCATGCGATTTATTCCCTACCCTAATCCAGTCAACCACCCTGAGAAAACACACAATCTGTTACAAGAGGAACTAGAGTGGGGTGTGAATGTCTCAGGGCAAATCCTTTACTACCTGAAAGTAAACACCCTACCAAAATCCAGTCAGGATGGTCATTTTGTTATACGAATAGGGTTCCCAGTCTCTAAAAAACCTTCAAGGTACTATATTTTAATGTTTTATTCCACGCATTCTTTATTTGAAAAGGTCTTCCCTATCAAGTTATATGTTTTAATTAAGATTGATTATCATTTTTCTACCAAGTGATTTAGCAAATTAATACTCTTTCATTTTTATTAATCAATGTCATACATATTGCCAAGCAAAGCTTCCAGTCAGTACAAGATGAGCAGGGTTACCACATCGATTTGAAAAAGGAAATCACATTTATTGTTAGCCTATGCATCCAGTTAGTGTTTTTATTTTAAAAATATTTGTAATTATCTTAACTTTAAAATACTCTCCTCTAATTGAATAACAGTGATAGCTTTCTATAAACTGACATATACAACTTAGTATAAAGAGCACGGGCTCCACTGGTTATAAAGGACTCTGGCAATAATGTTTTATTTCTTTTCTAAAATTTACTAGAAAGACAAGTTGTTAACAATGCTTCATCTCATCCTGGCTGAAGCAATGACCTGGGCATCTGATGTCCACCAATGCACAGAACAATCTACGCCCAGTCCTTCCACGGACTGCTGCTGCCCTGCTGTTCATGTATTTAAATGCTTATTTTCACTTTTCTGAAATCTTTTTATTTCTCCTAGTAAAAAAACTCATTGTGTATCTTTGTCTTTCAAAACAGACATTTTAATGTCTACAACAGTACAACAGCCATGAAAGCCAAGACTTTTAATTGTAAGAGCCGGGAACTTGAGAAAGAGAAAGGTTTTCATGGGACTCCCCAAACTAAGCTTTAAATCACAAAGAGATTTACTTTTGGAAGCCTGGGCTTGAAATGTTTTTAAAGAGGAGATGGTCATGGAATTTACCATCCAAGCCAGGACATTTTCGAGAGGGAAGGGGGCACTCCTGCTAATGATGCAGGGACAATAGGCATGAACCATGACCACCACAGTCAAAACCCAGGACACGTGGTCACATTGATTCTAAGCCATGGAGTAGGGAGAAAGCAGAACGTAATACGAGGTTACTTCCTACCAGGCAAGATGGAAATAAAATCGTTCCTGTGCTAGGGGTTGGGGAAGAGGAGAGTATCATAGTTTAGACTCAAATGAAAAGTCTTCTCGGGGTACCGCTCACCCCCATTCCTATATTGGATTCAAAACTCTGGGAGAAGAGAGTAGAAACCCGAAACAAATTGAGAATTAAAATGAGCATAAAACTATGACATGGCAATGTTTGGGTAGAAATGATCTGAGAATCATTCATTCAATTCAATGATGTTTTTTAAACAACTACTAATGTAAAAAGTACAGATGCTCCTCAACTTACAATGGAGTTACGTCCTGATAAGCCCATCCTAAGTTGAAAATATCATTAAGTCAAAAATGCATTTAATACGCCTAACCTACTGAACACCATGGCTCAGCCTAGCCTACCTGAAACATCCTCAGAATACTGTTGGTACACTATTCAGTAAATTAGGTAAGATATTCAACACTTTATTATAAAATAGGCTTTATGTTAGATTATTCAGCCTAGCATCATGAAAGAGTATCGTACCACATGTTGCTAGCCTGGGAAAAGATCCAAATTCAAAATTCGAACTGCAGTTTCTACTGAATGCATATGACGTTCGTATCATCATGAAGTCGAAAAATCGTAATTCGAACCACAGTAAGTCAGGCACTGTCTGTACTGTTCAAGGTTTTGAGATATATCAGAGAACAAATCATAAAATCCTTGCACATTAAATCTCTCGTGGATATTCTCTTTGCCACCCACCCTCCTCCCCCAATGCTGTCCCCTCGAAGTTCTCCGTGGAGGAAATCTGGAAGTCTTCACAGGCTCCAGAGGGAACTTGGATTAAAAAGCTGGCATGTCTGCTTGCAGAAGGGGCCCAGGGGCAAGGGCCACAGGCAGGGGTTGGATGGAAAAACAGCTGAAACTGTGGAAGCCTCAACGCCCTTGTAGGAGACCCAGTGCCCTT